GAATTATATTACTTTTTTAAAAAGAACATCTTTATTGGGATAATCAAAAATCTTGCAAGTTACTTTTTTGGAAGTATACAACTCCGTGCTTTTAGTATCCTCATAGATTATGTGCAGTCATCACTACAGTCAATTTTAGAACATTCATTATCCCCAAAAGAAGCCTGTACCCATTAGCAGTTATTATCTTTACTTTTTAAATGCAGGAAATAAACCTACGTAAAAGGCCAGAAAAACTTTATGCTCTTGAACTCTGTAAACTGACTCCAGCCTACCTGTTGTACTTTATTTTCTCCTAGTTCCCAAAATACATCATTTATTCAATTCAGGCTATTTTCCTACTTGTGCTATAAAATGTTATTAACTTATAATTGTCATTGCTTCTCTTACATATTTTATCTCTGTCTCTGATAATCTCTTCTTTCTCTTTGCCTATCCAAATCTTTCTTTTTATGAAGCATTTCCCGGCTACTTAAGCCTTCCAATATGTACCTTAAACATTTTTTGTTTTAATTAATTAATGAATTAATTTTTGAGATAGAGTCTTGGTATGTTGTTCAGGCTGAATTTAAACCCCTGGTCTCAAGCAGTCTTTCTGCCTCAGCCTCCTGAGTAGCCAACGTGTACATTTTCTAAACTTGTTACTACTTTTATTCAGTGTCATGTAATTTAGTACTTTGTAGTTTTTTATACATATGTGATCATCTTTTCTGTCTATTACAACCAATAATCCTATTAATTGAAGAGATCACTTTTCATATTACTTTCTATGGCCTTCATAATTCTTAGCACTTGATAGAATAGTATTAGTAGGCCAGGCACAGTGGCTCATACCTATAATCCCAGCACTTTGGGAGGCTGAGGCCGGTGGATCACCTGAGTTCAGGAGTTCAAGACCAGCCTGGCCAACATGGTAAAACCCCATCTCCACTTTAAAAAAAAAATACAAAAATAAACTGGGTGTGGTGGTGGGCACTTGTAATCGCAACTACTTAGGAGACTGAGGCAGGAGAATCACTTGAACCTGGGAGGTGGAGGTTGCAGTGAGTCAAGATTGCACCACTGCACTCCAGCTTGGGCAACAGAATGAGACTCCATCTCAAAACAAAAACAAAAACAAAACAAAGAAGAAGAATATTAGTGATCAGGTTTCCTCCTTCCATTGAGTGTCTTCACAGTATACCTTGCCTAACAGCAAGGTAGGTAACTCCAATAGCAAGATACCCCAATGGTGCAAAAGAAAAGCTACCCACAGGCTGGACACAGTGGCTCACACCTGTAATCCCAGCACTTTTTGAGAGACCGAGGTGGGTGGATCACCTGAGGCCAGCAGTTCGAGACTAGCCTCACCAACATGACGAAAACCCATCTCTACTTAAAGAATACAAAAATCAGCCGGGAGTGATGGTGTGCGCCTGTAGTCCCAGCTATTCAGGAGGCTGAGGCAGGAGAATCACTTGAACCTGGGAGGTGAAGGTTGCAGCGAGCTGACATTGTACCACTGGACTTGCACCACTGCTCTTTAGCCTGCACTCCACCACCTCTCGGGTTCAAGTGATCTTCCCACCTCACCCTCCCCAGCAGCTGGGACTACAAGTGTGCACCACCATGCCTGGCTAATTTTTGTATTTTTAATAGAGATGGAGTCTCACCATGTTGGTCAGGCTGGTCTTGAACTCCTGGCCTCAGGTGATCCACCCACCTCGGTCTCTTGCCTCACCTCAAATTTCTGTAAGGTTGTATAGTTTACCAAGAACATTCAGCTTATTTAGTTATGTGAACTAAATAATAGATTTTCTTGTATAATTGAGGAAAGTTAAGCTTAAGTAAGGAAATTTATATTTAAAACATGTTTCATTTTACTACTAAACATTTGAGTGTTTTCTCTGTTTTAAGTATTTTTGTAGACATTTTAGTTATAGGGATCAATAGAAATACAGCCTGTACTTCTTAATTGAAAATAGTGCTCTTGGTGGTTATAGCAGTATTGATTTAGACAGAGTGGAGTTAGCACAAAGGTAGACAGATAAACTTAAGGAAAGGAGTAGGGGGCCCAGAAACAAAAACATGTATTTACTTGGCAATTGATAATCTTTGAATCTGTTGGTAGCACCTAGGTGTCATTGTACTGTTTGCTCTACTTTTGTATATGTTTGAAATTTTCCGTCATAAAAAAAATAAGGCCAGGAGCTGTGGCTCACACTTGTAATCTCAGCACTTTGGGAGGCCAAGGTGGGCAGATCATGAGGTCAGGAGTTTGAGACCAGCCTGACCAACTTAGTGAAACGCCATCTCTACTAAAAATACAAAAATTAGTTGGGTGTGGTGGCGGGCACCTGTAATCCCAGCTACTCAGAAGACTGATGTGGGAGAGTCGCTTGAACCCAGGAGGCAGAGGTTTCAGTGAGCCGAGATCGTACCACTGCACTCCAGCGTGGGTGATAGAATGAGCTTCTGTCTCAATAAAATAAAATAAAATGAAATGAAATGATAAAATAAAAGATAGAACTTAAAAAGTAGAGATACCTTTCACAAAAACTAGGAAAATATGAGACCGTACAGTAATATGAACCAAGAAATATAAGACTTTTATGGAAAAAGTTATAAATGTATTTAATGATAGTGTTTTTACCATAAATGGAAAGAAATGCTATTGACAAAATTAGAAAAAATACAAATTTTCCAAATTGATTTCTAGGTTTATTCAGTTACCACTAGAACCCATTAAGGCGTGTGTGTGTGTGTGTGTGTGTGTGTGTAAGTTGGCAGCTGAGTTTAAAATTTATATTCATATGTTAAATTTGAAGATCAAAACTTTAAATCTTGCAGAAGATAATACTATTTGGTGGATGCATTTCTTTAAGAATACAGAAAAGGCACTAACCATGCAAATAAAGATCCATACATTTGAAAACTACTCATAATAAAAACGCAATGAAGAAAAAGAGATGGCAAGTCATAAACTAGGATAAGAAATTATCCACACTGTAGTCAATGAATTTATTGCTCCTTTATTTTTTAAAAAGATAACTTCGATAGAACAAATCTTGTGAAATGTAGTTGACTCTATAATTTGAGGGGGGTGGGGAGTTGGGGAGAAATAGCATGGGGAGAAATGCTAGATATAGGTGATGGGGAGGAAGGCAGCAAATCACACTGCCATGTGTGTACCTATGCAACAATCCTGCATGTTGTTCACATGTACCCCAAAACCTAAAATGCAATTTAAAAAAATAATAATAATTTGATTCAAGTTAGCTCCATGTACCAATAGCCATACCCCTAATTCTTTGAGACATGTCTATCTTCTGGACTATATTAGAGGTAGCTTGAGTTTTCGGGTTTCTGCAAGACAGCCAAATTCTTAAATTCCTTTCCTAAATTTATTTTGTCCTACTGAAAAATGGTACTTGGGGCCGTCTTCATCTATTCACAGGCTTTAATAAAGTAGTTTTGCCCTGGAGGCCGGGTGTGGTGGCTTAAACCTGTAATCCCAGCACTTTGGGAGGCTGAGGTGGGTAGATCACGAGGTCAGGAGATTGAGACCATCCTGGCCAACATGGTGAAACCCTGTCTCTACTAAAAATACAAAAATTAGCTGGGCGTGGTGGTGCATACCTATAATCCTAGCTACTCGGGAGGCTGAGGTTGGAGAATTACTTGAACCCAGGAGGCAGAGGTTGCAGTAAGCCAAGATCAAGCCACTGTACTCCAGCCTGGTGACAGAGTGAGACTCCGTCTCAAAAAAAAAAAAGAAGTTTTGCCCTGGAAGATGAGGCCGTTATGGATAGCATTTCTCAATTATATCTTTTATAGTTAAATATTAGTAATTGTTGTATCTTTCAATCTTGTAAGTTCTTGAATTTGTGAATTTTGTCTTTCTTTTCAACTCCGCTTGCATTCTTTTAATGCAATTAATTCTTTTCTGAGTTCATCTTTTCCTTGTAGTATTTTAAGTGTAGCCAATAGCATCCAAGGCTAGCAACATACTGTTTCCCAGCTTCTTTGCATAAATCAACCAGTTGATTAATCATATTATCTACTTTCTAGGTTTTCTCAGGCAAATACAGTGTTATGACTGTATTATATAGATCGTTATTTCCAGACTTGCTACTCAGTCGCAATTGCAAGTGTCACATATGTTCCATATTTGTTATGGCAATAATTGACTCCTGTTACCAATTTCTGGACTAGCTTTTCCTAAGTAAGGCTGCTGTAGCAACCCTCAAATTATAGTGCCTTCCTACAGTAGAGATTTATTTCTAGCTCCCATGTTAGCTACAAGTTGTCTGTGGTTTTGCCCCTCTGTTAAATGTGCCTTACTCAGTGTTCTAGGCTGAAGAACAGCGCTCTTTGTCTTAGGTCAGAGGGAAAACTGAAAATGCTGAACCACTCAGTGCTCTTAATCTTCTCCTAAGATACGATATAAATAACTTAACAATTATATATCATTGGCCAAAGTAAGTTAATATGGCCAGGCCCAGTGTTTGTATGGTAGGGAGTATTTGTCTCTCAAAGACTGTACTATAAGTTACCCCGTTCAAAGACAGGGATATATAGCTCCCTTATAGGGAGGGGATAGAATAGTGTAGAACAGTAATACCATCTGCATATCCAGTTCTAGGTATATTTTCTAAAGCAGTGTTTTTCAAACATTCAGCTGAGTTCTTAGCTGAAGGTAAACATTTGAAAGTTGTCAGTATATAAGTGAGTGTGAATAAGATCACCCAGGGTGAGGTAAGAGAGTGCTAGAAACCTCATGGGAGAGGCATCTGCAAAGAACACTAAGAACAACCTATCAGAACTAGGGAGGAGAACAGGAAAATAACATGTCCTGGACCCTAGTTGTAGAATTATTTCTGCTCCACAGTGTAACTTTGATTTTAAAAGAAAGTCTGAATGCAAGTATTTTACATCTATCTGAGTTGTACCATCACAAGACTTAATTTTCAAATAGCATAAGAAGTTTAAAATTAATACATACTCATTTATTATTACAGAGATTTGCCACAATATGGACAGAAGCAGTGGCAGTCCTATTTTGGAAGAACTTTTGATGTTTACACCAAACTCTGGAAGTTCCAGCAGCAGCATAGGTAAATGAATTTTATAGTTAAAGAAGAGTGAAGGCCTGCTTTCTATTAGTCACAGGTTTTATCTTTACTACTTCAGTGGTTTTTATCTTGGTGCTTTTTCTTTTTTTTCACCAAAGCAAAGATAAATCTTGGTGCTTTTAAAATTCCATATTTCATCTTCATAACCCAAATGAAAACAAATTTATTTCTTTCCATTTATTTAAGATTTTAAAATGTATGACCAGGCATGGTGGCTTATGCCTGTAATCCCAGCACTTTGGTAGGCCAAGGTGGGGGGATTGCTTGAGCTCAGGAGTTTGAGACCAGCCTGGCAGCATGGTAAATCTTATCTCTACCAAATACACAAAAATTAGCCAGTGCAGTGAGCTGAGATTGCACCACTGCACTCCAGCCTGGGCAACAGAGCCAGACTCCATCTCAAAAAAAAAAGAAAAATAATGTTCTTGTTTGATTTTTTTTAAAGACAATATTATATGTGGAATGGTTCAGATAAGCTAGAGTGTACGAAGGATGATTTATTATTTCATTCTAAAATACATGTTTACTGGCCAAAGTAGTTTCTTTTTATATTTCAACTTATAAATAGACATTTAATAAATGCCTTTTGAATTTAATGGAATGACTACATTGAAATCTCATGAAAAATGTATTAGCTTTGCTGAGTTGAATGGTATTTTATCCTATTGAATTTACAGATTTGATTATTTTTGGAATGTACAGACTCTTATTTCTATTTTCTTTTATCCTATATAAACTAGACAAGTCTTGGATAATCGATATGGCTTGAAGCGCTGGCAAATAGGAGAAATTGCTTCCAAGATTGGGCAGCTATACTACCATTATTAGTGAGTAAATTACACATGGAAAGAATGAAGTGTTGTCTGATTAAAACACAGCATATGGAAATATATAGAGTATACTCATTGCTGGGTGTGAAAATGGTGAGTTACAAATGAAACCCTAGTAGTTTGGACCAGATTGATCAAGACAATGTCGTGCAATAACCTTCCATAATTAAAGTTCTATTTGTTTTAAAGGCATGCCTTCCAAATACTTCATTTGGTCAGACTCATTTATAACTTAAAAATTTGATCTTGGTCTTAGATAAATGATTAATACTAAAGGATTTATTATTCTTACAGCTTCACTTGTTTTAATACTGTGCAGCATTATAATTTGTATGTATGAATGAATAATTTTCAGAAGGAAACTTTAAAAAACTTATACTTTCAGGATATGTTTGAAAGGTTACATGAGATAAATAAAGGTATTTTTATTATATCCTTAGAGCAATAACATCTACATAGTCCCACCCCTGAGTTCAGAAAGCAAGAGAGGTCCTTTTAGGAATCTAAAACTAATTAGCCTGACATGATAGCAGGTATACAATGAAAAAGGCTTGGACAATTTTTAATCTAAAAGGCAATAAAACAACCAGGCATGGTGGCTCACGTCTGTAATCCTAGCACTTTGGGGGCTGAGGCAGGTGGATCACTTGAGGTTAGGAGTTTGAGACAAGCCTGGCCAACATGGTAAAACCCCTTCGCTACTAAAAATACAAAAAAAATAGCTGGGTGTGGTGACTGGTGCCTATAATCCCAGCTACTTGGGAGGCTGAGGCAGGAGAATTGCTTGAACCTGGCGGGCGGAGGTTACAGTGAGCCGAGATCATGCCATTGACATTCCAGCCTGGGTACCAAGAGTGAAACTCTGTCTCAAAAAATAAAAAATTTTTTAAAAAAAGAAGAGAAAAAGCAATAAAACTTCTTTCATTTCTCTATTTTGGCATACCATCCCAAATTCCCACCATTAAAATTACTTTATTGGGTAGAATATTTTCTTAAAGTCCCTTGTAAAACTAGAAATGTTTTCTTGGGTAGAAATATTTTCTTAAAAAGTCTCTTGTAAAACATAATTTATTAACATCCCCTGAAGATGAATATGGATTAGTGCATTCCTCAGTTCTGTAAGAAAAAAACAAAAAAATAAAGAAATGGGCCAAAGGACTGTATGGATTTGAGGAAGTGAATTGGCCTGGTCCTGGGAGAGAAGGATTTCACTGATGGAATGCTGTTTGGAGAGTCCCTTCAAAGAATGAGGATAATGTATAATATGGGTTGGCATAAAAAAATGCTTGCATTCAGTGAGGACATTTTTCAAAAAATTTTATTATTATTTTTTATACATTTTAAGGGTGATATGATGATTGCCTTGCTGATTCAAATTTAGGACAGTCATTTCCACTCGCTCCCAGACATAGAGGAATACAGTAATATAGAAGAAGTATTTATCATGGTGAAGATAGAAGAAGTATTTATCATGGTGAAGAGTCTCTGACACTGTCATATTTAAAAATATATTTTTTCTCATAGCTTACGCACATCGGAAACCAGCTATCTGAATGAGGCTTTTTCCTTCTATTCTGCAATCAGACAGAGATCATACTATTCTCAAGTCAATAAAGAGGACAGGTATGTATCTGCTACGCTTTTAGAAAGGTGAGGATAGAACTGTCTTTACTCTGCATGGAAATTGTGCAGAAAAGCATACATTTGTTTATAACTTGTAATCATTTACCAGGCTTTATGGAGTGCCTGCCGTGTAGTAGCCCTTTGAAAGCATAGAGAAGTGTATGTTACCTATGCAATAAATATCAAAGATGTTGTAACAGAGTCAATGCCTAAGGAGAGCTGGGTTATTGTTTTACAGGAGATTGGCTTCACATAGATTTAATAGAAAAGAAATGACTCCAAAACGAAGCTTAGTTACTAACATTTATTCTTTAGCCTCTGTAATCTTAATTCATATCTCTTCAAAAGTCTGGTGACAGCTGTCATGTACGATCAGGGAATAGCCTGCTAATGCTATTTGAATTTTCTTTTCTTTTTTTTTTTTCTTTTTCTTTTGGAGACAGAGTGTCGCTTTGTTGCCCAGGCTGGAGTGGAGTGGTGCAGTCTTGGCTCACTGCAACTTCTGCCTCCTGGTTTCAAGCAATTCTTCTGCCTCAGCATCTCAAGTAGCTGGGATTACAGGTGTGTGACACCATACCTGGCTAATTTTTTTGTATTTCTTAGTAGAGATGAGGTTTCACCTTGTTGGCCAGGCTGATCGCCAACGCTTGACCTCAGGTGATCCACCCACCTCAGCCTCCCAAAGTGCTGAGATTATAGGCATGAGCCACCGCACCTGGCCTGGATTGTGATTTTATTAGTTCCAGATGAGTATGGAATTGTGGAAGAAATCAGAGGTCTGCTGGAGAATCTTTCTTGCTAGCATTCTGGGAATTGTTGGGTGAGAAAGTTCAGGCACAGAAGGTCTGAATATTCTTTATACCCCCAGCAACAGAACTCACAGTTTTTATATAGTGAAAAAATTATATTCTCTTAGCAATGGAAGAAAACACTTTTGACATGTTTTTCTCGAGGACACTTTGTGGATGACTGTTGTAAGCTTTCCAGCTAAACAGTGACATTTTGGGGAAAGCCCCACTCCTGTGAATCTCCTTAATTCCCTTGCATGTCTTGGTCAGACTTGTCTAGGGGCGTTTGCATGGCATATGTAGGGGTGTCGATGATGGAGTGTACATTTTCCATATCTTTCTGTCATCCCCTTACATCAGAAGTTCCATCATTTACTTTTCCCTTAGGTCGTTCTATAGTTTGCTTCACGTATTTTCACTACAGATATATTTCCTCCAACCCTAATTAAAAAAAAAAAATTCATGCTATACTATTTGTCGTAATTCTTGGCGAGATAAATTATATCTTAAAAAATGCAAAAGAGCTATGTAACATTTTATCAGCATTAAGAATACATATAAGCTGAGAACTATTTTAAGCAATAGCAAAACACCTTGTATAATTTACTTTTCTCCATTTTCTAATTTGACAAAGGGAAAAATTGTCTTTAATCTTAATACCCAACAGTTCGATGTATTGCCATAATTGTATGCCTTAATAACAAACATCAAATTTGAATCGTTTTCCAAATTTGAATCCCATCTCCTAGAGCAGGGCGTATTATTTAGAAGTAGGATTACTTGGAATCAGGATGACAAAAACTCTTGCTTTGTGTCAGTAAATTAGAATTAAAGGACAATCTGGGGTACATGCTTAGCATGTATGTGCTTAGCAGGGGCTTTGTTCAGTGGGTAGGTTGTTTCTTAGTTCACATAGGGTAAGAGTGCCAGTCAAGATTGCAATCAGCAACAGCTGCTAAAATCAACAGCCAGGACAGAAACCAAGTAAGGAGGTATTCCACAATTTCACAGTTCATTTAAAAGGCAAAAGTCTTCACTCCTCAAAAGGAACAAGTTCTCTCTGCACTGTCTCTGCAGCTAAGGATTATGTCGAGACCAGAAGGAATAAGTAGTTTGTTCCAGCAATCTCAAGGTTAGTGTCTGTCACTAAGCATAGACCACTCTCAGAACATTTCATTCCATGGGCCCATCCTACTTAGGAGAGAATATATTACCATTCAGCCACTCCTCCTAGAAGCTGCACACCTCAGTTCTTTTGCAGATGGCCAAAGATTAATTGGTTGTATATGGAGAAGGTGAAGATTCTCAATACCCTGGAGGCTGTGGGGAGATGTTACAGTTAGCCACCTGGAAGAACAGAGTTTCCTCAGCCAATGTGTAGTTAAAGAGTTGGTGTCTTAAAGTAGCGAGTGTAGCAGGTTGGACAAGGCTGGAATTCTGGAGTTTAGAAGTTTGTTAAGAGCTTAAAAAAACTTAATAAGAAGTTCAATTTCACATTCGTATTGGAAAAAACAATACTGTCACCACTTATGTTGATGTTGATGACATGTCAACATGTCATTTATTGTTCAAAAGAACATAGAATACGTCATTTGCTTGTTACTATTTTTAGAAAAATAATTTTAAAGAGTATAAGGAGAATGCGTAACTTCAGAAGAGGTAGAGGGGGAAACTGAGTAATAAAATTATAATCATTACAATGGCAGGAAAGGAAAATAAACTCCTTTTGTGTTGATGTCAACATAAGGGGTGACAGTATTAAGTTTTTTTCAGTGGGAAATATGAATGTAAATTGAAGGCTTTAGCACTTTGTAATGGTGCTGATGATAAAGAGGGCTTGATATGGACCCTTCCAGTGAGGGTCACACTTTTTTTTCTGCAGTTTGATATGGAGTCAGTTGGTAGGCTGTGGGTTGTGGTTCAGTTTATCGGGCTTGATTGAGGTGGCCTCTCATGTGTATGAGTGGGCAGCACTGACGCATTCATCTGTGCTTTGCTGCAGTTCATCACAGTGGCTTCTGAAATAGAAAGCACCCACCCACTTCTGTATGCTTATTGAATATAAGGATCAGCTAACTATGGCCTTCTTGCATGCCAAATTGGGTCTTCGGCCTGTTTTTATACTGTGTGACAGTTTAGAATTTTTTTTTTTTTTTTTTTTCACATTTTCAAAGGGTTGTAAAAAGGGAAAAGATGAATATGCTACAGGCACCAAATGTGGCCGGCAAAGCTTAAAATATTTACCATCTGGCCCTTTTCAGAAAGTTTGCTGGTTGTATAATCCACAATATAGATTCATAGAACCTTTTCTTAATCAAAAAAGTAACAGAATTAAGTCATTCATATTTCAGATTTGAGTTGACATCATCCTTCTACTAATTTTCTTTGTTTCGAATTCCGCTTTCAATAATGTGTTAGGCTAGATGACCTAAAATACTAAATATGTAGAAATGCTGGATAAAATAAGACAATCATCTTTTAAATGGAAAACTTAGTTGTTAAGAAAGTAAGAAGTTTCTAGTTCATTTTCCCATTGCTGTGGTGATGTTGGATTGGGGGCAATTGGTTGGGGTGACATAAAAGAGCAAGGAAGAAGAAAATTGAAACTACAAGGAGAAGGTATGATATATAAGAAGGACTGATAAGAAAAATTATCCTCTTGTATCCTAAAACATGGACTTGATGGGACAGTTATCATCTTAACAATGGCTGACTGACATTATTAAAATAAAATGGAGCCCAATCTGGATAGCAATAATATGAAATAAGAAAGGAGATAAAGAATTCAGCCATTTTGATAAGATTCATTTATTGAAGAAAGATAGAGTAAGTAAAGTTTACTTGTTAATATTTTTAAGAAAACTATAATAAGAATGTGTAACTTCAGAAGAGGTAGAGGGGGAAAGTGGGTAACAAAGTTATGATCATTACAATGAAAGGCAGGAAAGGAAAATAAACTCCAAATAGTGTAAGTAGCACAAAATAATAATATAGAAACATATCCAAGTCATAGTAAGTAAAAGTAATCTAAACTTCCCAGTTAAAAGACAGAGATTATCAGTATGCCTCTTAGAAAAACCCAATAGTACACTTTTTTTTTTGAGACAGAGTTTCACTCTTGTTGCCCAGGATGGAGTGCAGTGGCGCAATTTCGGCTCACCACAACCTCTGCCTCCCAGGTTCAAGCTATTCTCCTGCCTCAGCCTCCCAAGTAGCTGATTACAGGCATGTGCCACCATGCCCGGCTAATTTTTTGTATTTTTAGTAGAGACAGGGCCTCTCATGTTGGTCAGGCTGGTCTAGAACGCCTGACTTCAGATGATCCGCCCGCCTTGGCCTCTCAAAGTGCTGGGATTATAGGCATGAGCCACTGTGCCCAGCATAATATACTGTTTTCAAAAGACTCTTCAAGGCCAAGAGTAGTGGCTCACACCTGTTTTCCCAACACTTTGGGTGTCTAAGGTGGGAGGATCACTTGAGACTAGGAGTTTGAGACCAGCCTGGGAAACATGGCAAGACGTGGTTTCTATAAAAAATGAAAATAAAAAAATTAGCTAGGTGTGGTGGCACACTCCTGCCATCCTAGTTATTGAGGTTGAGGTAAGAGGATTGCTTGAGCCCAGGAGTTTGAGGCTGCAGTGATTTATGATGATGCCACTGCACTTCAGCCTGGGAAATAGGGCAAGACTATCTCTTTAAAAAAAAAGAAAAAAAGATCCTTCAAAGATGTAAGGTGGACAGAGAAAGATAAATGAGACAGCTACTAAGGGGAAGAAATGTGTATGTATATATGCATTTCTTATGTGTATACTGTGTGTATTTAAGGTAGAAAGTATTATTGAGAATAGAGGTTTACTCTGTAATAATAAAAGGAACAATTTAAGAAAATATAAAAATCATAAACATATATACCTAATAACAGCATTATAATAAAGCAAAATGATTTTTTTAAAGTGGGGAAATTAATAAGTGATCTAATGTACATTGGAATTTTTAATATATGATATTTAATAATTTATATATCAAGAAGACAAGAAATTATAAGATTTGAGTAACAGTTTTTCCTGTGTGCCTAAAATTGTGTGCAACAATAATAGAATATATGTTATTTTCAAACTTATATGAAAATTTGTGAAATTAACTGATACTTGCCACAACACAAGTTTAATACAAGGTTCAATAAAGTATATGATGTCTAACCATGGTACGATTGCGTTAAAAACAAAAATAAAACATAATTTTAAAAAATCAGTAGCTGCATATGTAGCCCAGCTACTCAGAAGGCTGAAGGCAATAAGATTGCTTGAACCCAGGAGTTCAAGTCCAGCCTGGGCAACATAGCAAGACTCTGTCTCTTAAACAAAAAATTCAATAAGTTGGTGAATCAGTAGACACATTTCTAAGTAATTCATGGATCAAAAGAATTTTTTAAAACTTTTATTATGGAAAATGCTGAACATATACAAAAAATATACTGTTGTGAGGCTATTGTATTTGTGATATAGGACATGGAAGGCAGGAGGAGAAGTCAGGTTTGAATTGATAATTGGTAAGTGTTAAGTGTTATGTGTGAACAGATAAAATATATTGTAAGGGGCATTTAATAAGTTAAAGGATGCATATTGTTACTCTTAGCAACCACTTAAAGAACAATAATAAAGCAGTAGTATAACTAAGAAGCCAATAGATGATATAAAACAGAAACTAAAAAATACTTGATTAACCAAAAAGAAAGCAAAACAGCAACACAGCAAGAGAAGGAGCAAATAGGAAACAGCGAGGTGGAAGATGTAAATCTAGCCAAAGCAATGACATTAAATATAATTGGTCTAAACATATCAAGTAAAAGGTAGAGATAGTCAAAATGGACAGAAAATCAGGATCCAAGTATATACTGCCCAGAAAATATGTGAATTTAAATAAAAAGACATAGATAATTGAAAGAAGGATGAAAAAAAGATACGACATACAAATAGTAAGCATGAAAAAGTTGGCTTGATTATATTAATAGCAGAAACGTGAGATTTTAAGAAAAAGAATGTTCTTCCTGGAATCCTTTTCACCTCATATTTTCCTGCCTATAGTCTTCCACTCTTTCTTGTATTCTTTTTTTTTTTTTTTTTCTTTGAAACAGAGTCTCGCTCTGGAGCCCAGGCTGGAGTGCAGTGGTCTGATCTTGGTCCACTGCAACTTCCGCCTCCTGGGTTCAAGAGATTCTCCTGCCTCAGCCTCCTAAGTAGCTGGGATCACAGGCGTGACTGGCTAATTTTTCTATTTTTAGTATATACAGGGTTTCGCCATGTTGGCTAGGCTGGTCTTGAACTCCTGACCTTGTGATTGCCCACCTCGACCTCCCAAAGTGTTGGGATTACAGGTGTGAGCCACCTCACCTGGCCCTTGTATTCTTAAACATTTGTTATTTTCTCTAGGAAACCTTTTCTCACTCAACATCTAGACCTGTGGGTTCAAATAGCATTCTTTATTTCTTCTATCATTGTATTATTCCATTGTGTTTTAAGCATTTATCTCTCTCCTGTATATTTTAAATACTTTTCTGTCTGTAAGATCTGTGAAGGGAATATCTATAGTTACTTAAAACTGTACTTTTAGCACTTACCATAGTACCTGATGCACGTAAGTTCTCAATAAATATTTGTTGAATGAATGAATATATTAGTAAACAACTTAATCAGTAAGAAATATGTTCAAAAAGATTATATGGTTATGTGTGGAAATGTTTATATTTGTGCAGAAAAGGATGGAGAAAGTTTTAAAAGCCATCAAAAAATTGGAAAAATCAAAAAGCATTCTTTTCTTTAATCTAATGAGTAATTTTTTATTTATCTTCCATAGACCTGAATTGGTAGTTAAGAAGTTACGATATTATGCAAGATTTATAGTAGTTTGTCTTCTTCTCAACAAAATGGATGTTGTAAAGGATCTGGTAAAGGTAAATGCACTTTAAAATAGTTAAAATTCTAATCTCTAATTATATATGGATAGTCTTATTTTTTAAAACTAGATTTTACGTTAAAATAATTTTGATATATCAAAATAATTACAACATTCAAAGTGTACTAACTTCTGACAAGGATAATGATAAAAAATTTTCCAACTCTTTTCATGTTACAAATACACTAATCTGAGATAATTATCTTGATTCCTTGCCTTTGTCCTTTCTACGTGTTTTACATTTCAAAGCTCATCAATGGATGGCTGGAATGCAAACAAACAAAAATACTTAGTTTAAGAGAAAATAATTGAAATATTATGTCAAGAAAAAGCACATAACACTTTACAAAGATATTGGGAATGATTTTAGTTCTCCCCCCACTATAAAATTTCTGTATCAAGTCTCTCCTTCATTAACTCAGGTGATTAAGAGGTAACTGTCTTCAAATCCACAGGATACCTGTAATCATTGCGTATTAAATTATGGTTGCTGTCTGTACTCAATAGGTTTAATGGCATACTTAATTTTGTTTCAAGTACAATATACCAATTGGTTTTTTGGGGTTTGTTTGTTCGTTTTGCCCAGCTGGCACATTTATTGGCATTAACACAAGACCCTTCCCTTTACAGCACCAGTAGGCCATGCCCAAAATGTGTCCCTCTGCCCCATTTCTGCAAAAACTCTCAGGCCTTAGCAGTAGGCTGAGCTGCCCCCAGGGCTGTGAGCTGCTGAATCTTCTGGCTCATCATTTCCATGACAACCTGTTTCATAGTGTGCTTCTCCTGGAGAACTGGTTGGATTTTCTCCCTCTGCTTAGTTAGAACATCTATCTTCCTCTTGAAGAAGTCCTTGGCATCCTCAGCTGTCTTCTCTACATAGTACCCAGTTCCCACATCGATGAGCACGTGTTCCACATCATGTAACTTCCCAGGGACATACATGGAACTCATCAGTGGGACGAGTAATTGTTTCCCCTTGTTGCTCTTGTTCAGCACGTTCAGACAGTCCTTGGCTTCCACATGCTTGGTCTGTACCACTTTGGGCTGGGTAGTGATGTGGACGAGAACTCCACTTCCTGGTCCAGCTGGTTCTTGAGCATTTCTAGATGTGGCAGATTTAGCTCTGTGATGTTAATCAACTGCTCCATGTTGGGAAGAAGGACTAAAGAAAAGCTGTTTGTTTGTTTTGAGACAAGGTCTTACTCTGTCACCCAGGCTGGAATGCAGTGGCACAGTCTTGTCTCACTGCAACCTCTGCCTCCCGGGCTCAAGCAATCCTCTTACCTTAGCTTCCTGAGTAGCTGGGATCATAGGCTTAAGCCACCACTCCTAGCTAATTTTTGTGTGTTTGTAGAGACAGGGTTTAACCTTGTTGCACAGGTTGGTCTTGTACTCATGAGTTCAAGCAATCTGCCAGCCTCGGCCTCCCAAAGTTCTGGAATTATAGACATGAGCCACCATACCCAGCTCAACATGCCAGTTTTGACAAGGCCACCAGAAGTAGCTCTCCGTATTCCTTTTCTACTTTCCTTTATACCCAGTTACCATTAAAAATATTTCCAAAACACTGTATAATATAAATCCAAATAAAGTCAGGAAGTATTTTTAGAAATATATAATTTTTTGTAGTGGTAGGGTCTCACTATGTTGTCTAGACTGGCCTAGAAATCCTGGCCTCAAATGGTCTTCCCACCTCAACCTCCCAAAAGGCTGGGATTATGGGTGTGAGACACTGCATCCAGCCTCATTTTTTTAAATGCTAAAGTTTTGAATTTGTCTTTTCTGATTTTTAATTAATTAATTTATTGCTGATGTAGTACTGATAGGAAATAGATCTCTGTGAAGACTTCATTTGGTGGGTATTATTCTGAAGTTTGTGACTTTTGAAGAAAATTTATGTAGTTTTCATCTTTGTTTTTGGTTATAATCAGGACTATGTATTGATAATCAAATTTTGTAAGTATGTCAGTTTTATCAGCAAAATGGTTCTATATGGCTATGTATTTTTACGGGTTTTTAAATAACCTTTTTTGTGATATTTTTAAAATCAGGAATTGTCAGATGAAATTGAAGATTATACCCACCGATTTAATACTGAAGATCAAGTGGAATGGAACTTGGTGCTTCAAGAAGTAGCAGCTTTCATTGAGGTCAGTTTTAATAAGAAAAATCATAATTATTGACTGGGTATGGTGGCTCATCCTTGTAATCCCAACACTTTGGGAGGCCAAGGTAGGCAGATCACCTGAGGTCAGGAGTTTGAGACAAGCCTGGCCGATATGGTGAAACCCCATCTTTACTGAAAATACAAAAAAATTAGCCAGGTGTGATGGCAGGCGCCTGTAATCCCAGCTACTTGGGAGACTGAGGCAGGAGAATCACTTGAACCTGAGAGGCATAGGTTGAGCCGAGATCGATCCATTGGACTCCAGCCTGAGCAACAAGAGTGAAACTCATCTCAAAAAAAAGAAAGAAAACTCATAATTATCGATAAATAAATGACCATGTAGTTTATGTTTTCATTATGTCTATATGTCAAGAAGGAATAACTTATTATATTGATAGTCTTAGTCATTTGTTAACTTCTTACTGCTTTTTTCTTTAGGCGGACCCTGTAATGGTATTAAATGATGATAATACCATTGTTATCACATCAAATCGCCTTACTGAAACAGGAGCCCCATTGCTGGAACAGGGCATGATTGTGGGACAATTGTCTCTGGCTGATGCACTCATTATTGGTAATTGTAATAATCAGGTAAAGAATTGTGAAGGGATTATGCTTAAAATTCACTGTGGAAAATAGTGCTATTGATGATCACAGTATTATTTTCTTATAAATATCCTAACATCTACTTGTGAGGAAATGGCTGATTAAATTATGCTCTGTGCATATCTGGAATATATTACAGATATTTAAATAGTTTAGAAAGAATTTTTAATAACCTAGGAAGATAATCCTGATACAGTAAATGAAAATAAACTTGCCATGGAGCCATGTAAGCAGAATTATTTCATATAGGTTAGAATGTCTATGTGTATACAAATAGGATAAAGACTAGGAAGAAATTTTACAAATAATGTAAGTTTTATCTCTGAGTAGCCAAATTATAGGTGATTTTTATTTTATTTTTTACAACACTCTAAAGTTTCAAAAATTTCTGGCCAGGTGCTATGGCTCATGTCTTTAATCCCAGCACTTTGGGAGGCCAAGGCAGGCAGGTCACCTGAAGTCAGGAGTTCAAGACCATTCTGGCCAACATGGTGAAACCCTGTCTGTACAAAAACACAAAAAAAAATTAGCCGGGCATGATGGCGGGTACCTGTAATCCCAGCTACTGGGGCGGCTGAGGCGGGAGAATCACTTGAACCTGGGAGGCGGAGGTTGCAGTGAGCCAAGATCATACCACTGTACTCCAGCCTGGGCAACAGAATGAGACTCTGTCTCAAAGAAAACTAAAAAAATAAATAAATAAAGTTTCCAAATGTCTATATATTACTTTCCAATCAAGCAAAAAGTATGAGGAGGAGTTGGTGTTTTTTGTTTGTTTGTTTGTTTGTTTGATTTTTTGAGACAGAGTCTTGCTCTGTCACCCAGGTTGGAGTGCAGTGGCACAGTCTTAGCTCACTGCAACCTTTGTCTCCCAGGTTCAAGCAATTCTCCCACCTCAGCCTCCTGAGTAGCTGGGATTACAGGCACATGCCACCACATCTGGCTGATTTTTGTATTTTTAGTAGAGACAGGGTATCATCATGTTGGCCAGGTTGGTCTTGAACTCCTGACCTCAAGTGATCCTCCTGTCTCAGCCTCTCATCCTGGCTAGTGTGATGTCAGCTTACTGCAACCTCTGCCTCCCAGATTTAAGCGATTCTCCTGCCTTAGCCTCCTGCGTAGCTGGGATTACAGGCATTTGCCACCAGGCCTGGTTAATTTTTGTATTTTTAGTAGAGATGGGTTTTACCATGTCGGCCAGGCCGATCTCAAGACCTCAGGTGATCCACCTGTCTTGGCTTCCCAAAGTGCTGGGATTATAGGCATGAGCCACCATGCTCAGCCCCCCTGTGCTTTCATAACTACTGGAAAAAAAAACCTGAGGAAGTTTATTGATCAGTAGACATGTATATGGCTGGAGAGGTATGTGATAAAGCAAATGTAAAAAATGCTTATTATAGGATCTAGATAATGAACATGTGGATATCCCTATAGAATTCTTCTAATCTTTCCATTGCTTGAAAATTTTCATAATGAAATATTAGAGAAAAAGGTACCCAAAGCCCTGAAGTACTTGTGAAAGTCAAAACTAGTAATGTGATAAAAGACTTCAAAATCTGTGTGTTGCATTAAGGCTAGGTTGTGTTTTTTTTTTGTTTTTTTTCTTGCAGGTTAAGTTCAGTGAACTAACTGTTGATATGTTCCGGATGTTACAAGCTCTGGAAAGGGAGCCAATGAATTTAGCTTCCCAGATGAATAAACCAGGAATGCAGGTAATTTTCTCTGGCTGCTTCTCTCCTCATAGAATGCAGCTGATTATTCAGTAAATACTACAAACTTTAATAAATAATTTTTTTGATGAGACTTGGAGAAATAGATAAGCATAATCACAGTAAGACTGAGTCAAAATAAGACTTACTTGATAGTTGACAAGGGCATTGATAATTCATTAGTCAAATGCAGCATATATGTATAATGTTTTTTGTGTGTAAATGTAGGAATCAGCTGACAAGCCTACTAGACGAGAAAACCCCCACAAGTATCTGCTCTACAAACCAACCTTCAGCCAACTATATACCTTCTTAGCAGCGTCTTTTAAGGTATGTGTGATCCAGTACTTTTTACTATAAGGTGAAAATGTGCCCTAAGTAGAATCTAAGAGTCATTCTTTTAAAAAAAATTTAAGAGTTTAAGTAAAATATAAAAATTAGAAGTTGCCTTTAGAATAACGATCCTGATAATAGCTATTTTTTTGTTTCATTTCTTTTTTTTTTTTACTCCTGGTAGGCTGTGAAATAGCTGTTTTTGGAATGAAAATTTATTGTGATGTTGTGAATGTTCCCATCATTAATTAATGAGAATAGTGGTTTTCCTTCCTCCAGTTTTTTATTGCTTAACAATTTCAGGTGTAACAGTCCAGAACTGAAAAATGAAAGCAGAGTGCCTAGGCCTCTTTTATACTCAAGGAGCTCTTGAAACATTTAGATCAACTGTGAGAAATAGGAGAATTCTTCCCAAAATCTATGTAGAGAAAGCTACAGAAAAGACTTTGTTTTTTAGCCATATAGTCAGGATCTTTACTTCTCCATTCAACTTTTCAGAGAATATTCCCTAAATGATGGGGTTTTTGAAGCAGAGAATGCCTTCACAACTTTTGATGATAGTTATAGATTAATAATGAATCTCTGCTGTGTGTATGTATAGTTTTAAAGTCAGAACCAAGAAGAGCGTTTCTTCTCTTGGAAAAGACATTAGTGCATTTTTATTTATTCTACAACTTTAAAATGTTATGAACTTTAAATAAAACCATGTTGTTTATCCCTGTTTGTTGGTTTGTGTATGTGATTTTCTTTAATTTCAGGAGCTGCCTGCCAATAGTGTGCTTCTGATTTACCTGTCGGCCACTGGCGTTTTCCCCACAGGTCGTTCTGATAGTGAAGGTACAATAAAGGAATGCTCCCTGTTGTGAGCAGGGCTTGAATTCTCTTTATTTTCTACAAGACGATGGCCCATAGCCCACAGACCATCTCAAGCTTTCTAGACAGACTTCCAAATTTGAAACCTGGTCTTGTTGATTGGCAATTTTGTAGATACCCCAGTCTGTCATACTTTCTGAAATGTTGTTTGTCAAAGCCCATAAATCATCAGAAAATTCATGTATTAATTTTCTTCATTATCATGCTTCACTATCAAATTTATCAAAAGTGTAATATGTAAATACATTTAGATATACATAAGGAGTTTGATGTTTTGAAGTTAAAAAGGATGATGGAATAACCAAGGCTAATTATCTCTTTCACATCTTTGAATTTTTCTGAGCTTTCAGTGCACTGGGGAATCCGGTCAATGGCTACATGATGGCTGAAAGTCTTTGTAGAAATCAGTGTATTTTCGTAACTGTGAAAGTTCAAGCCCTTGTCATGATTTTGTTTTCTGTCCTTTATTTTGTTTTATGGATTTAATCTGTAGAATATCGGGATGCTGTTTCAGAATAAAAACTTAAAAAACTGTCCAGAACATATGAGTCCAGAAACTGGTCAGAATAGATAAGTAACTTGGATGTAAATAAGATAATTAAATCTTTGTCTGGACCAAAAAAAAAAAATTCTTAACATTCTTAACATTTTCCTCTTCATTTGTTTGTTGAAATTTGCATTCCTTTATAAATGCATGTCCTTGCCATCTTCCTTGCATGACCTATAGATTCTCTTAAAATGTTAAAATGAAAACAAATCTCTTTAGTCTTTTCATTGCAGTGATTTTTTTTAAAGAAATGAAATATAATACAACATTAAAAGTAATGTAAAATCTTAAACTACTTTAGTTTTGTAATAATAAAGTTAATACTTTTATTTATATTTATCTTTATGTCTAATATACTGTTAAATCAAATTTTCTGGGTCTCTGCTTAACATAATGACTTTTTAACTTTTTTCAAAGTATGATAGGTAATAGCTGAATGGTTGTTTGAGAGAGATTATCTGAACATCCCACAGTTGCTATTTCATTTAGACAAGAGTTTAGCTAATTCATACAAATTTAGTGGGAAAAGGCTAACTTCAGAACCAGAACTAAAGTGCTTCATATGATATTGATAATAACGGAGTTTTTGCATGCTGAAATCTGGCAATACATTCTTAAAGGTGAAGTTTTTGTGAATGACAGTTTTCAAATTCTATTCAAATGTTTTCCTAAATTTTACAGTTAGTGACTCATTTAAAATTATATTTACACCGAACGTGGTGGCTCATGCCTGTAATCCTAGCACTTTGGGAGGCTGAGGTGGGTGGATCACCTGAGGTCTGGAGTTCAAGACCAGCCTGGCCATAATGGTGAAACCCCGTCTTAAAAAAAAAAACAAAAAATTATATTTACTTAGGAGAGTAAGATTTCATTCTTAAAAAAAAAAAAAAGATTATTCTGCAACTTCTTTTTTTTCTGAGACAGAGTCTCACTCTGTCGTTCAGGCTGGAGTGCAGTGGTATGATCATAGCTCACTGCAGCCTCAAACTCCCTGGCTAAAGTGATCCTCCCACCTCAGCCTCCTGAGTAGCCGAGAATATAGGTAGGCACCTGCCACCATGATTGGCTAATTTTTAAAATGTTTTTGTAGAGACATGATCTCACTATATTGCCCAGGCTGGTCTGGAACTCCTGGCCTCATGTAATTCTCCTGCCTCAACCTCCCAAAGTGCTGGGATTACAGCCATGAGCAACCAAGTCTGACCAACTTCCTTTTAAAATAATATTGTTAAACTTGAGATTGTAGGTGTGCTTGAAATGTAAAGGTCATTTTGAACATCCCAGATCTCCATTTCTATTATTACTTAGAATAATGATTCCGTAGATTCTTGTTTTGTTTCTCATTATGTTCTGTTTGAAGAACTGCTGAATATTTAATGATTTTTTAAAATGTTGAAACTGACAACATACTGAAGTAATTTAAATACTCTATTAATTAAAATGTTAAATTTTAAAATAATTTAAATGTTTAATTCTCTTCCCTTGTATCAATAAGGAATTCATACAGTACTTTTGTATTTGAACATCAGGTCAGTGTTAGTCTTCAACTGAAGTTTAGGATTCTTCCCTTTGTTTTTATAGGTCCTTATGATTTTGGAGGTGTACTTACTAATAGTAACCGGGATATTATTAATGGAGATGCCATCCACAAACGAAATCAGTCCCACAAGGAAATGCACTGGTATGTATTCCGGTGTCTCCTCTTATTCTAAAAATTATACCTCTGTCTATATATAGAAAACACATTAAGTAAAATGGGGAGTTTTTTCTAGTACTAGAATGATTCCCTTAGACTAAGATTTAGGGACTGACTGGAAACACTTATTTGGATTCCAGCAATAATTCAGGCTCTCTCTATTTTAGGAAATTAGAATTTTTGGTTGATATTCATTGGACAAATATTTTATTGAGTATTATATGACACACAATTTAGTCACTAGGGATATGTCAGTGAACAAAATGGCGTTCTAGTTGGAGACAGTAAATATATACATAAATAAATATGTCAGGATGTGATACATGTAACATCAATATGAACTTTAAAAATTTTCTTTTCTTCAGAGAGAGAGTCTTGCTCTGTCACTCAGATTAGTCTTGATTTCCTAGCCTTAAGTGATCCTCCCACCTCAGCATCCCAAAGTACTAGGATTACAGGCATGAGTCACTGTGTTCGGCCCAAATATTTTTTTAATGTTATTTTTTGGGGACAAGCATGGTGGCTCACGCTTGTAATCCCAGCACTTTGGGAAGCCAAGGTGGGCAGACCACCTGAAGTCAGAGTTGAGACCAGCCTGACGAACATGGAGAAACCCCGTCTCTACTAAAAATACAAAAAATTATCCAGGTGTGGTGGTGCATCGCTGTAATCCCAGCTACTCAGGAGGCTGAGGTATGGTAATTGCTTGAACCCAGGAGGCAGAGGTTTTGGTGAGCTTGGATTGCACCTGCACTCCAGCCTGGGCAACAAGAGCAAAACTCTTTCTCAAAAAAAAAAAAAAAATTTTTTTTTAATTGAAATATAATCATTGTACATATTCATGGAATACATAATGATGTTTCTATACTTATAATGTATAGTAATCAGATCTGAGTAATTAGCCTACTCATTATCTCAAACATCCGTTCTTTCTGTTGGGAACATTTGATGTCTTTCTTCTAGCTGTTTAAAACTATATAATGATTTATAGGCTGGGAGTGGTGACTCAATGTCTGTAATCCCAGCACTTTGGGAGTTTGAGATGGGTGGATCATTTGAGGTCAGGAGTTGGAGACCAGCCTGGCCAACATGAAACCTCATCTCTACTAAAAATACAGAATTAGCCAGGCATGGTGGCTCATGCCTGTGGTCCTAGCTACTCAGGAGGCTGAGGCGGAAGAATCACTTGAACCCATCAGGTCGAGGTTGTAGTAAGCAGAGATTGTGCTCTGGCCTGGGTGACAGAGTGAGACTCCATGTCAAAAAAACAAAAAAGAGAAAATAAAAACTATATAACATATTATTAACTATAGTCATCCTAAAGTGGTATAGAACACTAGACTCTAGCTATAATTTTGTGTTTTAACAAATCTCTTCCCTATCTCTCCCTTCCTCTATCCTCTCCAGCCTCTAGTATTGACATTTTTTTTTTAAGGTAGAGTCTTACTCTGTCACCCAGGCTGGAGTGCAGTGGCATGATTTTTTCTTACTACAAGCTCTGTCTCTCAGGTTGAAGCAATTCTCCTGCCTCAGCCTCCAAAGTAGCTGGGATTATAGGCGGCCACCACCATGCCCAGCTAAGTTCTATATTTTTCATAGAGATGGGGTTTCGCCATGTTGGCCAGTCTGGTCTCGGACTCCTGACCTCAGGTGAACCACCTGCCTTGGCCTCCCAAAGTGCTAGGATTACAGGCATGAGCCACTGAGCCTGGCCTGAATTTCTTAATACAAGGTTTTTGTTGTTTAATATAGCACAAATGAATATTGTTATATGATTTCAAATAGACCTTCAGGTCAGGAGCAGTGACTCACACGTGTGATCCCAACATTTTAGGAGGCTGAGGTAGGAGGATCCCTTGAACCCAGGAGTTTGAGACCAGCCTGGGCAGTATAGTGAGACTCCATCTCTACAAAAAGTATTTTTGAAAAAATGCAAAAAATACAAAAATGGTGTTTCATATATGAAAGTTCTTTCTTTCTTTTTTTTTTTCTTTTTTTGAGACAGAGTTTCACTCTGCTGCTCAGGCTGGAGTGCAGTGGCATGATCTCGGCACACTGCAACCTCTGCCTTCTGGGTTCAAATTATTCTCCTGCCTCAGCCTCCCAAGTAGCTGAGATTACAGCCATGCACCACCATGCCCAGCTAATTTTTGTATTTTTAGTAGAAACGGGGTTTCACCATGTTGTTCTCGAACTTCTGACCTCAAGTGATATGCCTGCCTTGGCCTCCCAAAGTGCTGGGATTACAGGCATGAGCCAGTATACACAGAGTTCGTTCTTTTTTTAAGCATAAGAACTTCGTTGCTTGGGCCACTATTGACTTTAGAATTTCTCTAGCTGAGAGCAATCTGGTTATAAAGAAAGCTGGACTGGTCTTAAAGTTCATTTCTAATACAGATTGAATGTCCCTTATCTGAAATGTGTGGGACCAGAAATGTTGCGGGTTTGGAGTTTTCCATCCTTGGGGATGGGACCCATAAAATTTATTTATGTTTCACATACTCCTCATACACATTGCCTGAAAGTAATGTTATTTTTCCCTTTGAGATCCGAATAAACTATGTGTTGTGCACTTGTATGACTATGATCTATCACGTGAGGTCAGGTTTGGAATTTTCTATGTGTGGCATCATGTTGGCTTGCAAAACCTTTTTGGATTTTGGAGCATTTTAAGTTTTGGATTTTCAGATTAGGAATGCTGAACCTATAATACATGATCATTTACATGTGGAATCTAAAAAAATGGCACTCAGAAGCAGAGTGCAACTGTAGTTATGAGAAGCTAAGGATTGGGGAAAATAGCGAGATATTGGTTAGAGGGTACAACCTCTCAATTGTAAGATAAATAACATTTAAAGTATGGCATGGTGATGATAATTAAAAATACTATATTGGCTGGGCAAGGTGGCTCACGCCTGTAATCCCAGCACTTTGGGAGGCCAGGATGGGTGAATCACCTGAGGTCAGGAGTTTGAGACCAGCCTGGCAACATGGTGAAATCCTGTCTCTATTAAAAATGCAAAAATTTAGCCAGGCGTGGTGACACTTGCCTGTAATCCCAGCTACTTGGGAGGCTGAAGCAGGAGAATTGGTTGAACCGGGGAGGTGGAGGTTGCAGTGAGCTGAGATTGCACTCTGGTCTGGGTGACAGAGTAAGACTCCATCCCACATACATACAAACATACATACGTACATACATACGGTATTGTTGGACTGAGTGTGGTGGCTCATGTCCATAATCCCAGCCCTTTGGGAGGCTGAGATGGTAAGATTGCTGGAGTTCACGACCAGCCTTGGCAACATAACAGGATCTTGTCTCTACTAATTAAAAAAATGAGCCAGGCATGGTAGTGCATGCCCATGATCCCAGCTACTCAGGAGACTGAGACAGGAGCATCACTTGAGCCTGGGAGATTGGGGCTTCAGGGAGCTATGATCCTGCCACTGCACTCCAGCCTTGGTGACAGAGTGAGACCCCATTTCAAAAAAGAACAACAGCAACAAAAATTGTTGTTTACTTGAAATTTTCTAAAAGAGTAAAGCTTACATGTCCTCTATGCCTACCCCCACCCCTGCTCACACACAGAGGGTAACTGTGTGGGAATGGAAGTGTTTAGATTTGATCATGGTAATTACTACCCAGTGTATATGTTAACAAGTTATCACATTGTACACCTTGACTATATACAATTTTTATTCACAAAAGAAAAACTTTCTGAAATATAATGAAGTTTAATATTGCTCATTGAAACATTTATATATTTACATTTACATTAGCATCTATCTACATACAGGCATCGTGTACTTAACCATCGGAAAGAGAGCATGCACACCAAAATTCTGACCTTACACAGTGGCTCTCACATGGATGTTACTGGACTTCAGCCTTTGGGTTCAGTAGCTCTTCTGTGGGCCAGTTAAACTGCATGTTTAACAAGCCCTTGATGCAGAAGTTCATTCAGAGGAAACATAAAGTATAGTAAAAGGTGGCTAGGCGCAGTGACTCATGCTCTTAATCTTAGCACTTTGGGAAGCTGAGGTGGGCAGACTGCTTGAGCCCAGGAGTTTGAGACCAACCTGGGCAACATGGAACAACTCCATCTCTACTAAAGATAGAAAAGTTAGCCAAGTGTGTTGGTACACACCTGCAGTCCCAGCTATTCAGGAGACTGAGATGGGAGGATCATCTGAGCCTGGTACATGGAGGTTGCATTGAGCTGAGATTGTACCACACCACTCCACTCCAGCCTGGGCCACAGAGCAAGATGGCATGGTTAAAAAAAAAAAATAAAGTGATAGTAAAAAGGTTTTCAGTCGGGTGTGGTGGCTCATGCCTGTAATCCAAGCACTTTGGGAGACCAAGGCGGGTGGATCATAAGGTCAGGAGATCGAGACCATCCTGGCCAACATGGGGAAACCCTGTCTCTACTGAAATACAAAAAATTAGCCACGTGTGGTGGCGTGCACCTATAATCCCAGTTGCTTGGGAGGCTGAGGCAGGGAAATTGCTTGAACTCAGGAGGTGGAGGTGCCGTGAGCCAGATCATGCCACTGCACTCCAGCCTGGTGACAGAGGAAGACTCCATCTCAAACAAAACAAAAATGTTTTCATACTTACTAGCTGCAATATTAAGATGTAGCTTGAAATATTAAAAATCTTTAAAATAGAGATGTTGAAGACTCATTGAAATACAAATCTGGTTTTGTATTACATCTTGTTTCCAGATGTTCTTACAAAGAGCTTTTAAATATGAAACAGGTACCTGTGTGCCAACTTCTGAGGTTTTCATGCTGTGTGTTTAGTCATGTTTAAATACATAGGCTTCTCTTTAGCTTAGATATTCTTGAGTAACAATTGTCTCTGAACTTTTTATTTTTCAAATCGATCTATCTTCGTTATCCCAGTAAATACAGACTTTTTTTTCCTTTGCATAACTAGTCTTTGTTTTTCTCTCAGTACTATGATGCAAAGGAGATATGAACAGACCAAATTGAAGAATAAGATTTCTGAGAGGTGGCTGACACAGTTTAACATTTCTTCATTGTTGCTGTTTTCCCAGCCTTCATCCCGGAGATCTCTATCCTTTCACCAGGAAGCCTCTGTTCATCATTGTGGATTCATCTAATAGTGTTGCATACAAGGTGAGTTCCATGAGAACTATTACACAGGTAGACATTGTGACACCAACCCAAGGGTACCTACTCTTAATGTGTTCCTTTCTATTTTTCTTTATTTTATTTAATTTTACACAGTTTGTATTTAGTGTTTCTTTTCTTTTGAGGTTGTGCATGCTAGTCAGGATCGGGTGCTATGAATAGAAACAAGAAGAAAACGCATGAATGGACACTCAGTGGAAAATAATAAATCCTCCTGCAGGAAAAAAAATTCAAGATTTCCAAGATCTCTGGTGGAAGGTTTATTTTTGTTATATAACCCAGAATAGAGGGAGAGGGATAAGGGTAAATTTTACTTTCTAGTGTTCAAACGTTTCCCCTTGTCACGCTGAGCTACTGTAGTTTAAGTGAAACCTCTACCCCATAGTTTTAGTCTTTGAATATTAACATATTGTTTTACATGCACTTAAGTTTTTGAAAATTTGTGATGATCACAAAAAAAAAAGATGGCCCTGAATGCTGAAATAAGTGACAGGGATCTAACTTGAATATCCCTCGTTTTATATTTTGCTATTGAAGTGATGATTTTCAGTGATTCCATAAAGAATGCCAGCGGTGAAACACTTTAAGTTGGGATATTATAATTCAAACTCTAGTAATTTACAGGGAAATGAAAACACAGTCTTTAGGGTCCTTTATATTTAATCAAAATGTTTTGTTAGTGAAAAATACATTCAAAAATATTCTGGGTACATAGAACTGCCACTTTAAACTGTTTCTGTTGTGAGTGTTCATACTGCAGTCAGTTGGAGAAGTAAACATTTGTAGGTTTCTATCAGGAAACCAATGAAAACGTCTGGTAGCCAAGTTTTCCATTTAGTTTTCATGTTTGGTTTTACTTAAACTCTTTATTCCAAGAGCTTCCAATGCACCCTACATTTTTCAGCATATTTTCTTCTATTCACTTTCTCAAAGTTTAGTATTTTACAACTTTTGATTTTTAGGAAAGTTATCAGTTTACTTTCTTAAGTTGTATATGTTATTTTTGTGTGTGTGTGGAAAATGGACCAATATGGGAGGCTGCTGAACAAAAAGGTATATTGGCTCTCCCAATTAAACTTATAAAACCAGAAGGGTCCAGGTGTTTTGTGTCTTCAGAGAATTCAGAAGAAGTACTCTCTCTTTGTTGATGAAAATGAATCTGTTGCAGCAGTTTGGTGATATGACGGAATGTATTGATGCACTAGGTCCAGTGTATTGTTTAACATGATCTAGCGTCGTTGAGAGTAGTTAGCAATCCATTAATTTCTCCCAGTTTAATTGGGCGTTATTGGATACCACCTCTCAGGAGTACCATTTGTTGTATGTGCTTGCAGAGCACTATTTAGATTTAGGATGAATATTGGATGCCGATTTTTATTTATTTATTTACTTATTTTGAGATGGAGTTTTGCTCTTGTTGTCTAGGCTGGAGTGCAATGGCATGATGTTGGCTTATCTCAACCCTTGCCTCCCAGGTTCAAGTGATTCTTTCTCCTCAGCCACTTGAGTAGCTGGGATTACAGGCATGTGCCACCACGCCCAGCTAATTGTTTTGTATTTTTAGTAGAGACAAGGTTTCACCATGTTGGCCAAGATGCTCTCGATTTATTGACCTCGTGGTCTGCCTGCCTCGGCCTCCCAAAGTACTGAGATTACAGGCATGAGCCACAGCGCCTGACCACAGATGCTGGTTTTTAGACACCATTGTGTATAATTGGAAATGTATTTAGTCAATTAATACATCATGGCTTAATTTTAGATTTTAATATTGTAATGCAAAGGACAGCTGTGGAATAATAGCAAGTGGATTTTTGTTATTGTTTGCTTTTGATGGCATATGCACTGTCACTCCTCTAAAGAAATAAATTGTCCCGAACATACCAATCTTCAGAAATGAAAAGGGAGTCCGGGTGTGCAGTGGCTCACACCTGTAATCCTAGCACTTTGGGAGGCTGAGGCGGGCAGATATTTGGAGTCAGAAGTTCAAAACCAGCCTGGCCTACATGGCGAAATCCCATCTCTACTGGAAATTTAAAAATTAGCTGGGCAGGGTAGTAGTCCCAGCTACTTTGAAAGCTGAGGCAGGAGAATCGCTTGAACCTGGGAGATGGAGGTTTCAGTGAGCCAAGATCAGGCCATTGTACTCCAGCCCAGGTGGCAGAGTGAGATTCTGTTTAAAAAAAAAAAAAAAAGCCAGAAATGAAAATCGAACTCCATAGGCAGTAGGCAAATCAGACCATGGCACAGACCAATTTTAGTCTTTTTAGAAATAAATATTACTTACTACATTTAATTCAAGCATGTAGTTCTTTTTGGTAACATATGAAGGTGTTTCATATTTACTTTTCCCACAAAAGCATTTGTAGGCTGGACATGGTGGCTTATACCTGTAATCCCAGCACTTTGGGAGGCTGAGGCAAGAGGATCACTTGAGCCCGCAATTTGAGACAAAGCTGGGCAAGATAGCCGGATCCCATATCTATTAAAAAAACAATTTAAAAATCTGCCAGGCTTGGTGGCTCACACTTGTAATCCCAGCACTTTGGGAGGCTGAGGCGGGCAGATGACCCTAGGTCAGGAGTTTGAGACCAGTCTGACTAACATGGTGAAGTCCCTGCCTCTACTAAAAATTAGCCTGGTGTAGTGGCAAGCGCCTGTAATACCAGCTACTGGGGAGGCTAAGGCAGGAGAATTGCTTGAACCCGGGAGGCGGAGGTTAGGTTGCAGTGAGCTGAGATCACGCCACTGCACTCCAGCCTGGGTGACAGAGCAAGATCCTATCTCAAAAAAAATTGTTTTTAATTAGCCAGACTTGTTTTTAGGAATCTGTAGTCCCAGCTACTTCAGGAAGCTGAGGCAGGAGGATCTCTTAAGCCCATGAGTTCAAGGATGCAGTGAGCTGTGATTGTGCTACAGCACTCCAGCCTGAGTGAGAGAGCAAGACTGTATCTCTAATAAATTAATTAATTAGATGAAATTAAGCATTGTAAAGTCTTAAGCTACCACTTTGCAAGTTTTTTGTTTGTTTTTTTGTTTTGTTTTTTGAGACAGAGTCTTGCTGTCCCCAGGCTGGTGTGCAGTGATGTGATCTCAGTCACTGCAACCTCCGACTCCCTGGTTCAGTGATTCTTCTGCCTCAGCCTACCAAGTAGCTGGGATTACAGGCACGTGCCACCATACCCCAGTTAATTTTTGTATTTTTAGTAGAGATGGGGTTTCACCATGTTGGCCAGGATGGTCTTGATCTCCTGACCTTGCTGCCTTGGCCTCCCAAAGTGCCGGTATTATAGGTGTGAGCCACCACGGCCCAGCCGAGTTGCCTTATTTTTTATTGTCTGTCCTTTGCTCTTTAATAAACATTTTTCTTTAGGAAATCCTCACATCTTTATTTTCTTTCTTTCTTTCTTTTGAGATAGAGTCTCGCACTGTTGCCCAGGCTGTAGTGCAGTGGTGCAATCTCAGGTCATTACAGTCTCTACCTCCTGGATTAAAGCAATTCTCCTGCCTCAGCCTCCTGAGTAACTGGGGCTACAGGCGTGCGCCACCATGCCCAGCTAATTTTTTTGTATTTTTAGTAGAGACAGGGTTTCACCATGTTGGCCAGGATGGTCTCAATCTCCTGACCTCATGATCTGCCCTCTTTGGCCTCCCAAAGTGCTGGGATTACAGGCGTGAGCCACCATGACCGGCCTACATCTTTATTTTCTAAACCTTTTATTGAGATTTTTCATTTGTTCTTTGTAGTTTCCTTTCATATATATAGAAATAGATACATGTGTGTTTATGTAACACATACATATACATATAAAATTATCTTTTTTAAAAATCATGGTTGAAATACCTCTCTTTCCTTTGAGAATATCAGTGATCATTTAAAATTTCTCCCTGCCTGGTATCTTCTTTCTCTTTGTTCTTTTGTTTCTGTTTATTTTTGCCTGTGTCTTTCTCATTAGAGACTTTAAAGTGTCATAATCCTCACTTGTTTGCTCATATTTAAGAGTGGAGCCTAGCAAACTGATCAGAAGCTCTGAGGGACTGGGTGGGGCTGGTTCCAACTGAGCTGGACCTTATAGTTGGGTAACCCCTGATGTCAGTATCTTCAGGTCTTTCTTCATGGCCTGGTCACATATACGAGAGAAGATGCAACTGTTCCGCCTGGAATATAGAAGATCTAGTGACCAGCACAATGCCATGTTTTCCCTCAAGCGTGTGTATATGAGTGCGCATGTGTGTGTATGTGTTTGTGTGTTTATAGATACATGTATCTTTATGTACCAGTGCCTCGCACTTAAAAGAGTCTTTTTTTTTTTTTTTTTTTTTTTTTTTGCAATGGAGTCTCACTCTGTTACCTAGGCTGGAGTGCAGAGGCATAATCTTGGCTCAATGCAACCTCTGCCTCCCAGGTTCGAGTGATTCTCAAGCACTAATTTTTGTATTTTTAGTAGATATAGGGTTTCACCACATTGGCCAGGCTTGTCTCCATCTCCTGACCTCAGATGATCAGCCTGCGTCAGCCTCCCAAGTAGCTGGGACTACAGGAGTGTGCCACCAAGCCGGCTAATTTTTGTATTTGTTTTGTTTTGTTTTGAGATAGAGTCTCCTTCTCTCGCCCAGGCTGGAGTGCAATGGCACAATCTCAGCTCACTGCAACCTCCACCTCCTGGGTTCAAGAGATTCTCCTGCCTCCGCCTCCTGAATAGCTAGAATTACAGGCACCCACCACCATGCCTGGCTAATTTTTGTATTTTTAGTAGAGATGGGTTTCACCACTTTGGTCAGGCTGGTCTCAAACTCCTGACCTCAGGTGATCCGCCCACCTCAGCCTCCCAAAGTGCTGGGATTAAAAGCGTGAGCCACCACACCCGGCCAAAACAGTCTTAAATCAATGCATGTTGAATGATGAAATGAGGGCTCTATTGTCCTTATTTTATACTTGAGGAAACTTTGCCTGTGAGGTTCAGGATCTTGTCCAAAATTTCCAGCAC